ATTGGTATGGCAGTAATTTCAATAAATCAACATTAAAAATCTATCCAGGATCAGTATAGAGGCGCATAATTACATCCACTGTCTCAGCTGATACTACTCAATGATTTAATACATGAGATTTTAGCAGAATGTGCCAAAGATCATGATCAATGATATACTTCACATCTTTTGGACATCAGTAAAAGATAGTAGAGCTTCAAAATATATGTGTTGATTAACATAGAGAACTACAAAGGAAAGTTATATTGACAGCAGTTAGCTGTTAGATCCTTCAGTCAATATTAAATGTAACTATTATTATGGTGTTTTAACACTCAAATCCTGACATGTTACTAGCTTACCTTTACTGTTAGTGTTCAGACTGTCATTAAAATGATCAGCCACTAATGTCCTGTTGAATGGATGTCCTCAGCATGAATGGCGACCAGCTCCTTCACTTCTCTACCATGTGCAAAATACAACATTTTTTCAGTTGCAAAGACTGAAAACTTTACTGGTGGTGCTGCATCAGTTTTGCACAGTAGCAGCATGCACACATGCTTAAGGGACAGATTTTACCTTATTACTTGCCCTAGAATCACATACAATATGCACTCCTGTTTTTGTTTTTTATATGATAAAACACACACACACATCCTCTAAACCACTTATCCTTCTGGGTCGCGGTGGGGTGCTGGAGCCTATCCCAGCTGTCATTGGGTGGAAGGCAGGAAACACCCTGGACAGGTCGCCAGTCCATCGCAGGGCTATGTGATAAAACTTAAAACTCTAATGTACTGCAGAAATGTTTTGCTTTGCTGATGTTACTCTCTTTCTTTAAAGTGTACTGGACTGTGTGATGACATCTTAAAACTTTTCTGCAGTACTTTTCTTTTTACAGTTGAGTTTTGTGTAAAACGTGTAGGTTTTTTACATACTTCTGGTAGCAAACTGGTCAAGAAAAGCTGTAAAGCATACTGTCACTGTTCATAAGTAACACAGCATCACCTGTGAACTTGTAGCCATATGACATCATGAATCTATATAGAACCCAGAAAACTCAAAGAACCCTTTGCATGATTCTATATAGAATCATTGTCTTTTGTAAAGAACCCTTGAAGAACCATGTTTTTTAAGTGTGTAGTACACAACTAGTTGCAGTACAAACTAAAACTTAGATGTAAACTAGTTGTGTACTCTAAATTTACTGCTCTTACACCTAAGAAGTACAAGTAAACTTTTATTAACTTTTTTAAACTAAAAAGTTGGCCAATTTAGTCCAAAGAAGTATTGAAATAGTACATTTACAAGTGCTTATAACACTTACGAGTGAACTTACAGTACACTGATATTAGTATACTTATTATATGAAGTATACTTGGGAAATGTACTTAAAAGTTTTCTTCATAAAATGAACATCAAGTATACTTAATTTTTGTAAAGGAGGGTAAAAAGCAAATTGATACTGTTACGGGAACATGTCTTACTTTCAAAAACTACCTTTACTGAGCAATCATGGGTCCAGCTTGAGACACATGTTGTTTATAATTGTATTATAAACTGTACTTTTATTATTATTATGCTGCATTACTGTCATGTCATATCATAACAATAAAGCCCCTTCCTTCAGTGTTCTACCCAAAAGACGCTAGGCTTAAAACTGGTGCTTAATTAGTTGTTTTGTTGTTGCACATTGTTATCTTCAGATGTGCGATGCAAAGTAATTACCTGCCTAGCAGATATAAACCAAGGTCGGCATCACTCTTAATGCCCTTCAACTCCTTTATCTCTCTCCAGCGTTGGAAAGCCACACCAATGATCACTTTTGTTTCCATGCTAGATCAATCATATTTTCTTTTCAATGACTGTTCTTCTGTATTTACTCAGTTTATTTGGCAGTGTCCTAGCCAGTGGCAGAACTAGTAATGTTTGTGCTATTTTCTTTGCAAATATTTATTAGAAAAACTAGCCAGCTGTCAAGGTGGGTCTTACCATAAGTCAGGTTTGTAGCTCCGTAGCTTATTGAGATAGAAACCCGCAGGGCCTTCACATAATACTGATATACACAAAGATGGGACATGATAAGCACAGTTGATCAGCTGCTGTATTACTTAAGCTTACTGGCACTGTCCTAACACAATGTGCTCATTTGGGGTATATTTAAGCTCATAAGTGTGTAATGTTGTTGTCTCCAAACATCTGCAAACAAGCTGTTAATGAACCACTAAGGCATTCCCATATCACACTCCAGATTTAGCTTATTCTGTCCCAGAGACTCCAAAAGACATCACAAACAGAAAGAAATGTGCTAATGATCAGTTATTTATAACCATCAACAAAACAATCCAATCTTTAAGTGTGTGTGTGCGATTATGTAATGTAAAGCAACCTGGGTGTGGGTTTCATCGCTTATGTGCAGCTCGATTAGCCACACACACCTCGTTCCTCACGCAGAAGTAAAGCAGATGGTGGGGGACGTGCTGAGTTACGAAGCGCCAGCGACATGTAACACTCGTCTAATTGAAACATCAATATTGCGGAAGTGATACGGCAGTTAAATCCCCAGAGAAAAGCACAGGTAAACTGAGTTTAAACTGCAGAACAGCAAAGAAGCAACTTTTAGAAGAAATGTACTTTTGTAAAGGTGCCTTTTTAACATAAATTCCCTGACTCTGCTCATTTCACTAATTTAAAATGACAGTTTGGTGGAATAAAATCTAATATTCACAGTTTTCTTCAAATATAGTTGTGTCAGAAGTTTGCTTTTGTAGTTTTGCACTGGAGCTATGAGGCTAATAGCTAAGAAGCAGTGGTTTATTAACATCAATTATAGGCATCACAAAAACTGCAGGGCTAAATTATAATACACTTGCCTTTATCCATGTGGAGCTGTTAAGTAATTTTAAATAGATTCACCTGTGTTTTTTGACACTATATGACATACTATTATATATAAAATTGGACAAAATAACTCACAAAAATCAGGCTTGAAGATCACTGCTAAGTCAGCTCAACAACATACTTTTGAATAATATGAATAATATAATGAATAATATGTAAATGCTATTTCTTAAAGGAATTATTATTTAAAGTAGTGTTTGAATATGGGTCTGAATATGAAAACACTGGAAATCCCAGACAACAGCTTGATTTTATGCAGTGGTTATGACTGTGTTGTTACTAATGACTAATGACATATTGCATTAACTTAATACATTTGGGTAATGGTGAGGGTAAACAAAATAGACCATTCTCAAATGTCCGTGTTCGTTAATGCTAAAGTGTGAATAGTAGTGTTATATGACTTCTAGTTGCATTCTAAAGAATGGCTGAGACTACTGCCTTATTAAATCCACCAATAATTCAACCAAACAGACTTACCATTCGATCATGTTGAAAATTGTTCAACTTTACTGGAAAAGCTCTGCTTATCATGTGTCACTTACTCTTACACTTACTCACTTACAGATAAAACTGAACCAGAAAGCTAACACAAGGCTGTGCAGTAGGGCAGTTTTGCTCCCATTTGTGAGTTAAAAAGGCTCAACTCAGAGAATATTAATTTACTGGCATGTGTACCTTCCTGGAAATTGTAATTATAAGGTTTGCTTAACAACTAAATGAGTCAGTGACTTAGACTGGTGAGTAGTTTACATTAGTGTAGAAATACAATGTTGTGTTTCTTTGCTAGTTGTGGCACTTGCCAATGTTGCCAATGTTCACATGGGCTGATTAGGAAGAATTAAACCTGGCGGACTTTTTCTCCTACAAAATGAAGCACAATATGTGCGTTTCTTTAGTGCTCGTCTCTTTCCTTTTACTGTGATGTGTAAAAGGAAAGAGACGTGTGAACCAGCAACCTTTCAATACTGCTCTGTTACACGTCAATAATGCTACTATTAACAGCTGGATGTGATGACTCAGTGGTTGTAAGAATAGTCTAAAGGCTAAATTGAATGTTTTTACATGGTTTCTATCAGTGTGCAAAATACCCCCTGATATTCAGGGGGTCTCATGTTGGCTTGCTACTGCAGCATTGACAGGCTGCTAACTCATTGGCTATAGCAGCACCGATGCTAGCTTCATTGAAAAATGTTTGGTTTTGGAAATGCTATTTTATAGTTTGGTTTGGTTTGGTTTCCATACTTAAACTGAGATCTTACACATTTACTCTTTTGTCTTCGGTTTGAGGAATGCATAATAATTCATGCTTTCCATCTCTTTGGGCAAGCTGTCAAACATGCTACAGCATATTGTAAAGTTTTTCAGAGGCATTCCAGGCATAGCTAGGCTATAAAGGGCCAATTGGGTGAACTAATTTGCTACAGTGCCCCCCTGAGGCAGACCAATACTGCACCTCTAATTAGTTAAGAATACCAAAGACAGAAGCTCACTGATTGTGGGTGAAGCAGCTAAACAATGATCATTCCCCTATTTCTACACCTTCAGACTGCAGACACTAATAGACATACACACTCATACATATCCAGACATGTATATAAATCAACTGACATCCCATGTTGTTTCCTGTTACCCACTGTTGTCTTTTCAGCACATATCAGCCTGTATGTTACTTTTTGGCCAAGGACATTATCACTGTTATTGCTATTGCTGTTGTCTCTTTGGTTGCCTCTTTTCATCCCTTCAAGGCTTTTGTTACTGTGCCTTTAAGAACTGTGCCTGTTCTGATTGGCTGCCTTGGACTGAGTTTTTGGTTGAACAGGCATACATGTGTAAATGTGCTGTTCTTAGTGACATCACAAAAGCTTAGTGTCAGTATATGGACTGTATCGGCTGGCTAACGAAAGGAATGTTTTGAAATTTGGTATAATGTTTATGTGGTACGTGGTATTTTAGAAAAAGCAAGGGAAATTCAGTCAATGTTACTGCAACTTTTTATTGTTTATCACTTTGTTATTTAATAAAGTGAAAAATGGAATGCCCTTTTAGCCATAGTAAGCTTCCAGTAGAAAGTAGTTTGTTACTCAGTGAGGTAGTAGCAGTTGTGTGTGCTGCCAATTTCACCCCATTTCTCTTTTCGTCTTCCATAACTGTTTCTTCGTCCTGCTCTTGCGAAATGACCTGAGGTTTTTTAACTTGTGGATGCGTACGGAGACATGGCGTTGAACACGGGTGCCACTCCGAGCAGCCAAAACAACAGCCTGATCACCAGACTGCAGGGATCTAGGCAGCGTCCTGTCTGCTCTCTGTGCCTGTGAGATGGAAACACAGTGGAGGGAACACAGTCTAAAGCAATATTTAAATACCAAGTTTGCACAATCTTACACCAAATGCAGCAGACAGTGTATGTCACTGTATGGCATAATAATCTATAAAAATGGGCAAAAGTATGTGTAAGAGTGACTGCAGGCATCATATTAACCCCTTAAAATCCCAGACTTATTATATACTTAGGTTTATTATACAGTTACTACAGGGACTTTAAAGCAAACTGACTGAGCTATTCTTAGGTTATGGAAGTGTGTAGTAAAACTTTGGACCCACTGGTGGGCCCTGGCCATTTAAGGAGTCCAGAACACTTTCAGATTGAAACAATATATTGCCCCTTTTTAATAGAAACAACAGAAACCTTGATAGCACTTTGCAGATTGGTGATAAGGGAGTATTTATATGCTAACATTATGTAATCAAATGTACTAATCTAAAAAGTGCATGCTATTTTTTAGTTGTTAATGAATAATCAGTTAGTAATTTTCACAGTACTAATGGTACCACAGTACCACAGTAAAATGGTAACGGTAACCATTTGTGCTGACCTAAAATAATGTTAGTTATTATAGCAGTAACTAGTTGGTAATACAATTCAAAATAATGCTAACAAATTCTAATTACCCCTAAATGTAATCGTAATTTTCCAGTTGATGCAAAATATTTTTTCACATTTATAGGAATAAGGTGTCAGGAAATATTTTCTGTTTAATCAGCATTTCACCCCAATTTCTTTAAATCATTGTATGGTTTTATAATATTAGGTTTATTATCCCAAAAACAATGAAGTTCTGCTGAATTGATGTGATATTAGTGCTGTAGAATAGTACTGATTTATTCATTTCTTTCTTATTTGTTATGTCTTTACATGGTCAGATTCAGCATGATAAACAGACACATGTAGAGGCTGTAATTATAGTGAAACTAAATGGTACTGGAGCTGTAAAATTCAAAGTTACTTCTTTCCATCTTGTTTCAGGTGACAGCATCAGTTCTTTGAAATATTGTTCCTAACCACTTTGAATTTATCACTGCAATTATATTATGAAAATTCATTTATTATAATCACTCTTGGATGCCCTATTACTGTTGTATGCTCACCCACAAGAACAGATGAGGTAATTATACTAAGATTACACAGAATCAGGGCTGGAAAATACATCATATGTTCCTTTTGTGTTACCTGTAACACAATACTGTTCCTCTAGTATAAAATACAGATCTAGTAAATAGCTCAGACAGCTGAGTTCAGTGATGGAAGAAATTCACTTTACTTTAAGTAGTAATTTTCTTAATTACATTTTAGGTTTGTACAACTTGTTACCACTATTCTATTATTACATATTTTTTACTGTTACAATTATTAACTTACTAGTTAATTAGTGAAATTGAAAATTAGTGTGCTGTTTTTTAATAAATACAACTTGCTACTACCAAAATATTACCACATTTTCATCATCCTGGAGAGATTTGTTCTCCACAAAGAAATAAATACCTAAACACAAACACATGCCTCAGAAGTGTTACCTGTTGTGTGTTGGCCTGTGGTAGGGTGCTGTATTGAACCCGGTCCTCCTGCACGGTATTTCTCAGGGTGTTCCACAGCTTCAGCAGGTGAGATTTGAGACCCTTTCCATCAGTGTCATCCATGTCCTTTAAGCTGAACTTGGAAGCCGGTATATTCTGCACCTCTAGTTTCTAAAGAAAATAAAAGTTAACACCCACTGTGCCTGTCATCAGAAACACCTCCTTTGTAACTCCACCTTGCTAGGGTACCATTTGCTGATGCAGATTTTTTCTTAGTTATCTTCTAGCCCCTCATCAGTGGTCAGTTTCTGACCAAACAGCTGCTCTTGGCTGGATATTATTGGGTTGTGGATCACTCTACAAAGCAGTAATGCTGAGGTAACCGTGTTTCAGTGGTCCTATGCTCAGAAACTGACCAATGCCGAATAGTGTAGATTGGCTGATGAATTATACAGCATAAGGTGAGCTGCAGTTTGTATATGTATATATCTACTCTGAAACACCTAATGTTAATTTTAAGTACATCACAGACACTTTTTGTCCAAAAGTATCCAGACACCCCTTCTAATCAGTTAATTCATCTGCTTTAAGGTACACCCATTGCTGACACAGGAACACACACAAAGCTCCTGAGTAAAGCATTGCCAATAGACTGCGATGCCCTGGAGCAGCTACACATCAGACTAAAATCACCATGCCTAATGCCAAGCATTGGCTAGATGGGTATAAAGCACTAATGAAAATCTGTCAAGTGGCATTTGTGATCCAGCATCAGTATCTGACCTCACCAACGCTTGTTAATATTTTTGATTTCAGAAGAATTGTTTGATGGTCAGGTGTCTACAATTTTTGGGACATAGTATAGCTAACTGAGCTAAAGGGAGCTAGAGGAAAAAACATCAGTCTGTGTTGGACAAGGGCTAAAGATGTGTTTACCACCCAATTGATCCTTTCATCCCTCACTCCAATTTATTCTCCAGTTTCACCCCTGAGATCTATACGTCCTGCCTTGGGGAGCAGCGCAGGACAGGCAGCATCTTACACACACACACACACACACACACACACACACACACACACACATATGTAGACACATATATAGGCTTTGTCCGGTGTTGTCAGATTTGTTGTGTCTGTTTCTATCCAGTTAGGAGCTGCTAAGAATCGACAGTGAAGAAGCAAAATGACTAGTCAGCCAATTTAGCCACTTTAGGCTTATACTTTAATAGATGCATTCAATGAATAAAAACAACAATTAAATTGTTAATTAGAATGATCCAAATGTAAGTAATTGTCAGCTTTAATTTCATGATCGTGACATGTTTCCATGAGAAAGAGTGGTCATCCATCACAAAGTGAATGGACATCAGTACCCTGCAAGTGTTTGGTAAAGTTTTAAATCTGGACTGCTGCTGTATCTGTCACTGCAAGAACACATTTCACAGACAATTCCATATCAGAGAACGCACCTGATCAGATCAGGAGTGTGTGTGTGTGCTTTTTTTTGGAGCTGAAATAAAACTCCTCCGTCATCCTCCAGCTGAGTGAGGCTCAGCGTCTCTCACTCTGATCAATGCAGATTTGTTCAGAGGAAATTGAAATCCATAGGAAATTAGGCAGCCACCAATGATTTATTGGACTTGTGTGTGTGAGTGTCCGTGTGTGATGGTGTGTGTACCTTGTGTTGGCACGGGCAGTGGGCAGAGTGAGATATCTGTAGGTCATTGTGTGTGTGTATGTGTAATTTGCAGTGTTGTGGACTGAGTGCTAAGTCCTCAGGTGTGACCTTACCACCCTTGTACCTTGTGTTGGCATGGTCTGAGTGGTAAGTCCTTAAGCTCTAGTCTGAAGTCAAAATGAATGTGCATATGTATATGTGTGTGTGATGGCCTGTGGTTGAGTGTGTGTGTGTGTGTGTGTGTGTGTGTGTGTGTGGTCTTTGCTGTGTTGCAGCCTAAGCAGGATGTCCAGAAGTGCAACTTTTTTGTCTTTCTCCAATGTGAAGGGCCAGGGGATGGACGTATGTGCAAGAGTGTGTTTGTGTAATGGTGTGTGTGTGCAACTGGGTGTATGTATGTGTACTTTGCTGTGTTGCTTTCTGTCCTCAGGTGTGATGACTGCTCCAATTTGAAGGCCAAGTAGATGTTTGTGTACATGTGCATGGTGTATCTACCTTGGTGTAGTCTGAGCAGTAAGTCCTCAGGTGTGACCTATGGTCCTGCTCCAGTCTGAAGATCCAGTCGATGTGCATAGGCGCTGTGAGGATGAGGATTTGCATGTGTGTGTATGTGTGTGTGAGTACTGTGCTATGTTGTGGCCTGTACTCTCCTGTTCTGCTGTATGTCCTTACAGCATGCGTGTGTCTGTGCCTGTGCTGATGTCTAGTGGTATGTCCTCTCGTGTGACTGTATGGCCCTGCTCCAGCCTGAAGGCCCAGTGGATGTGTGTGCATTGGTTTGTTTGTATGTATTTGTGTGTATTTCTGTGTGTATGTGTGTGTGTGTAAGTGTTTGTACCCTGCTGCGTTTCAGTCCATGCTGTATGTCCTCAGGTAAGATCTTGTTGCCCTGCTCCAGCCTGAAGGCCCGGTGGATGAGATCTTGTGGCAGGAAACGATTCCGCACATTCACTCGTTCAGAAGGAATAGCGTGGCGCTCACCCAGAGAGATAAAACCACTCAGAGGAACATCTGACAGAGAGAGTAAGACAGAGAGAGAGAGAGAGAGAGAGAGAGAGAGAGAGAGAGAGAGAGAGAAAATAAAATTAGATTACGATTAAGAACTATGTAACTAATAGTAATAAGTGATAATTACTATTATCACTGTTACTGGCTGAATTGAAGTTAAAGCCCATTAAAATGAACTGAAGTGAAGTGGGGGCAGAGAGAAGGAAACACATGGGATGTGCCATGTAATGCAAGAACCAACAACAATATTTTAGAGGAAAAAGAAACAAGTGAATGTGAGAGAGACATAGAGAGGAGAAGAAAGGTGGAAAGGGAAAGAGAGAGACACAGAGAGAGAGAAAGTGAAAGCATCTAAACTCAGTTAAAGAACAGGTTGGTAATTTTGGGGGTCCACCATTCTACCCTCACTTGCTTTGTCCAGATTTAATTGCATTTAAAAAAAAAACTGGTGTGCAAAAGAAAAAAAAAACAAGACAACAAGCTCTGAAAGTGCAGCTCGCTCTAATGGAGAGACTGTAGAGTGTAATTGTGAATGGAGGCATTCAGCTGGAGACGGCGGGTAAATTGCAGCAGACAATGATGCACATCCAACACTTAGAAACAGAGAGGTAATTGCTCCTCAACAGACAGAGAGAGAGAGAGAGAGAGAGAGAGAGAGAGAGAGAGGGGGAGAGAGAGAGAGAAAGAAAGAAAAAGAGAGAGCAGGGTATCAGTAAAAGGGGGATGGAGTAAAAAGGCTTGAAGATTGAAAGAAGAAATGGTGATAGCGTGCAAGGAGTGTGTCTGGTGTGTGTGTTCATGAGGGAGAATGAAAGTGTGGGGGAGGGAGATGAGTATGGTGGGATTGGTTCTCTCCAACAGCCTTTGCAATAAATAAATAAATAAAAAAAATATGTAAAATGCTGAAAAAAAGAATACACCAAAGGCCAGTCTCAGATCAAACATAGACTCAGATTAAAGTCTCTTCTCAGATTAAACCTAGTCACAGATTAAAGCCTTGTCTCAAATGTAACCTAGTCTAAAACTAAAAGTTTGTCTCAGAATAAACCTAGTCTCAGATTCAAGCTTGGTCTAAGACTAAAGCCTTGTCAGGTCTAGTCTCTTTTTAAAGCTTCACCTCAGACTAAGCCAAGTATCAAACTAAAGCCTAGCCTCAGAAGAAAGCCTCTTCTCAGATTAAAGTCTAGTCTTAGACTAAGATCAAACCTAGTATCAGATTAGAGTATAATCTTAGATCAAATCCTAGTCTCAGATAAACTTTTCTTAGAGCCTAGCCTCAGACTAAAGGCTAGTTTCACATTAAAGCCTTGTCTCAGAATAAAGCCTCAGCTCAGATTAAAACCTCCTCTAAATTTAAAAACTAGTCTCAGATTAAAACTTTGTCTCAGAATATAAACTAATCTCAGATTGAAGTCTAGTTTCAATTTAAAGCCTAATCTCAGATTAAAGCATAGCCTTAGATTAAATGTCTTTAGAGCCCAGCCTAGATTAAAGGCTAGGCATAGCCTTAGATTAAATTTCTTTAGAGCGCAGCCTCAGATTAAAGGGTAGTCTCAGCCTAAAGCCTTGTCTTAAAATGAAACTTCATCTCAAATTAAAGCTTAGTCTTAGTTCAAAACCTAGTTTCAGATTAAAGACCAGTTTCAGATCAACGCCTAGTCTCACTCTAACAGCTAGTTTCAGATTAAAGCCTAGACTTAGATTAAGTTTCTCTAGAGCCAACCCTCAGACCAAAGTCTACTCTCAGAATAAAACCTTGTCTCAGATTAAAGCCTTGTCTCAGTTTAAAGCTTAGTCTCAGTTTAAAGCCTAGTTTCAGTTTAAAGCCTAGTCTCAGTTTAAAGCCTATACTCAGATTAAAGCCTAGTCTCACTCTAACAGCTAGTCTCAGATTAAAGCCTAGTCTCAAAATAAAGTGTAGTCTTAGATTAAAGGCTAGCTTCATTTCGAAGCCTAGTCTCAGATTAAAGCCTAGTTTCACATTAAAGCCTTGTCTCAGAATAAAGCCTCAGCTCAGATTAAGTTTTGTCACATATTGATGCTTAGTCTCAGATGTCAGGGCAGTGGCTGGATTCAGAGGTGTGAGACACACACGTGCACTGATGCGCGCTGTGCTAGTGTGAGTGTTTGAGGGACACACACTGTGAGGGAGTGATTGGGAGACAGAAGGACTCAGCAGTCAGACTGAAGTCAGGAAAGAGAGAGAGGCTGCTACAATAACACTAATATACTGAGATAAGTAGATGTCTAGAGTTATTATTGTCATTTTGTTATGTTATTTACTTACACAATTAATTACATAGTTGCATAATAATTTACATTAACATTTGATTACAGCCTGTAATGACAGGTTTCAGTGTGCTCTTCAGACGACAACAACTTTTCGCAAAACTCAAATAAAACATCTCCTCTTCTACTTACAAACATTAATAGAGGCATGACGTTATGGATTGAAGGTTTAAAACCTGCACTAGAATTTCTCCTCTTATTTCAAATTACAACATGCTTTCATTATCAATAGCCATAACTATGCATATCAGCTCCATCTAGTTTTGGGCCAGAAAGCTTTCAGAACATGGCTGTAGAAATATTTTTCCATTCTGCCACAAGAGCATTAGTGTGGTTGGGCACTGATGTTGTGTGAGAAGGCCTGGCTTATAGTAGGCATTCAGTTTATCCCAAAGGTGTCTAGTCAGGCTAGGGTCAGGGCTCTGTGCAGACCAGTCAGGTTCTTTCACTCCAACCTTGGCAAACCATTTCTTTATGGAGCCGGCTTTGTGCTTAGGGTGTTGTCATGCTGAAACAGGAAACAGCTTTCCTCAAACTTTCCTAAATCATAAACAGCCCCAGAATATTATTCTTCCTCCTGGCATCCACCAAACCCAGATTCAGCCATCAGACTGCAGAGAATGCATTTCCATTGCTCCAGAGTCTAATAGTGGTGTGCTTTACACCAGCTGATGCTTGCCATTGCACAGTCATCATTGCATGGCTGCTTGACCATGTAAACCCAATCCATGAAACTCCTGATAAACATTTCTTGTGCTGTTTCCAGAGGCAGTTGAAATTTGGTAATGAGTGTTGAAACTGAATGCTGTGTGCTTCAGCATGGTCTTGTTGTTTGGGCTTGTTTAGTATACCACTTTATGTCTGAGCTGTTGTTGCTCCTAGACATTTCTACATCATTTACAGTAAAGTAGAAGTACAGGGAAGTGACAGAGCAGCTTTATCTTGTTGGAAAGGTGGCATCCAGCACCATGTTGTTCACTGAGCTCTACATTACAACCCATCTTACCATCAGTTTTTTGTCCATGGAGATTATGTGGATGTACACTTGTTTTTATGTACCTGTTAGCAATGTGTCACTGATGTAGCTGAACCCCCTAAAGAGTGTTCACATTCTTTTGGACATGTAATGTATATGGATCATTCTAACAAAATGGTTCAAAGTCAGAGCTGAAAACCCATTTTGGACTTTTAACCGACTTGGCCTTTGAACTAAAATGCTTTTGCTGTAAATGAGCCTAGGTTTTTATTCTGTGGGACTGCAGTTTGAACTAATTAAGTAAAATGGTCCATATGTAACCTATGACAGTGCCGCATTGAAAGTCAATAAACTCTTCAATGTAATTAATTGCGGATTGATTCTGACATTGTATAAAATCAAACATGAGTGTGTATATGTTACCGTGGTTAGTTTTGTTGGGGTTGTAGGTGCCATAGAGTGTGAGTGTAATGTTCAGCACAGCTCCCGCTGCTTCCTCAGTGTTACTTCGTCTACAGCCAGGAACCATCCCTTTATTATCCTTTACCTGCACAACACACACACACAAACACACACTGTATATCATTATCATGCAGAGCTACTTGCAGTTAAGACTTGACTTCCTGCCATAGAGGACTGTGACCCTTACCAAAACCTACTTCAACACCCGGAATACACCCACATAAAAAAGGCATATTCTGCACTTTATCATATAAACATCATGCAGCACATATTACTATTTAACATTTTCTAACATGGAAACTTTTACCTTAATAGCAGCCTATGATTATCAAAAAACACCTGTGATGATAATGTTAATTTCTGCTAACGTGTATATGAGATTTTCTATTACGTGTTCGCAATAAGCTAAGAATTTTATTTCCTAACACTGTGTTCAGTTCCACACAGCTCGAATTTATACTCAGAATATTACTGGATTCGCCTGTTAGCTCATTAGCAGTCTGCCGAACTGCCTGTTAAACAAAATTAGGCAATTCAGTGTATTCATGCTTTTTTACTTCATAAACATGCGATTTGTGATGGCAAACATACATGTATTTGTGAAAATGAGCATATTTTCCTTTCCCTAGCTGGGTGAGACAAGAGTTTTCACCTTTTGAGGGAGATAAAGTTCCCTGTCTGATCCTCCTTCTGTCGTGCTGTGGCTGCATTTGTTGTGATTGAGTGCGTTTACATGCATTCAATAATCCAATTTCTGCAGTTATCTGATCATTTAAATGGTCATGTAAACAGCATACTCTGATTTCTTAGATCGGAGTAAGGTCTAGAAATCCGATTAAGAAATCCAATAAAGAGAGCTGGATTTTAGCTCAGTATTTAGATTTCTCAGTGCATGTATATTCTTACTCGGATTTCTTTTGGATTTCTCGGTCTGTGCATGTGCAAAAACACATGGAAATAAGTGAGCAGCGTTGCTGCGAGGTGGCAATGAAACACTTTTGGAGTGACGCTGAAACCGACTACATGCTGGACAAAATGAAAGATTTGGCATGAAGTTTCATTTTTACATTACGTTTATGTCATGTCTTCTGCTCTGAGTTTATTGGCCAGTTGCAAAGCAGAAATCTGATTACTGCCTGACTCATGTAGACCCGGAGTTTTTCCATTATCTGATTACCCAAGTGCATGTAAACTGTGTTGATCAGATTACTGACAAAATCTGATTTTCTGCCGTTATCGGATTATTAAGGGCATGTAAAACAAGCTCCGCTCAGAGAAAGGACTGTATCACGTGATTGTGGATTATAGAGTATATAGTGTAAAAGGAGCTAAAAGCAGTGCTGTTCTGTATCTCTAAAAACATTATTTCCACATAATGTGCTTGTTTTAACACTGTAGAATGGAGAGGGTTCTAGATGCACTTGTTTTAACAGTTCAGAATGGAAGTTCCAAATATGTTTGTTTTAACTGTGCTGAGCGAAGAGGGCTCTAGATTAGTTTATTTTGACAGTACAGGATGGAGTGCGTCCAAATGAGTTTTACAGTACAGAATTGAGCGGGTTCTAGATTTGCTTGTTTCATGGTGTAGAATGCATGTAGCTTGTTTTAGCAGCGCTGATTGCAGAGGGTTCTCGATCAGCTTATAAGGTCCCACAGCGGAGGGCAGCATTGATTTGTTGCTGGTAAATAAGCTGCTGGACACAAGAATGAGATTGCAGAATGAACTAAATGTACTTGTTTAAATGGTGTAGAATGAATAGGGTTCTAGATGTGCTTAGGTCTAAAGCGCAGAATGAAGAGGGTTTTAGATGTACTTGATTTAACATGAAAAAAGGAATAGGATTCTAGATGTACTTGCTTTAACGGTGCACAATGAGGAATGGTTTGGATGTTCTTATTTTAATGGTGCAGAATGAAGAGGGTTCTAGATGTGCTCTTAAACACTGCAGATTGAAGAAGGTTCTAGATATACTTGATTTAACACTGCAGATAGGAATTGTTTAACAACTGCACGTTTTAAAAACAGAGAACAGAACACAGAACAACAGAACAAGTGTGCTTGTTTTAACAATGCAGAAAGAAGAAGGTTCTGGAGAGTAGAATAAAGAGGGTTCTAGATATGCTTAATCGAGAGGGTTCTAGATGTGCCTGTTTAAACAGTGCAGAGTGAAGAGCATTCTAGATGTGCTTGTTCAATTGAGTAGAGTGAAGAGGGTTCTAGATGTGCTTGTTTTAACAGTACAGAATGAAGAACATTCTAGATGTGCTCATTTTATGGTGTAGAATGAAGAGGGATCTAAATGTGCTTGTTTTAACAGTGCAGAATGAAGAGGGTTCTCGGTCAGAGTATAATGTCCCACAGCGGAGGGCAGCATCGATTTGTTGTTGGTAAATAAACTGCTGGACACCACCAGCGGTGGATCAATACTGTTTGTAGCATCACCAGGAGAGTCTTCTCTCTCTCTTCAGAAACTATCCTCACTTCCTGCAGAGTCAATAGCTTCCCTTAACAACACATATCTACAAAATTAAATTCTGCCTTCATTGCACCCATTTTCCTCTGCACTTCTAGTTAACACTTACATCCCAACACAGCTATGGACCTGCACATGCTCTCTCTGTAATGGGATTTTAATATGAAATATATAATAGGGAATATCCTGCTTTACCTCAATATTCAGGACAAACTAACAAAAAAAGCAACAGAAAATTCAGAAACAAAACAGCAAACCAAAAGTCCCTCAGTGGAAACCATAATGAAAATTAATACACTACACCACATATTAATATGTGCTCTCAAATATTTATTATCAACTTCATAAAAGAAATCCAGTAGGAACTGCTCTTCATCCATGACTTCCTTTAATTGCATGTAAGTATTTGTCTCTAGAGGTGGAGGTAGAAATATGCTATATTTTAGCAGGGTGGCAAACCAAGACATGTAGACCAGGAAATAACAACTTTCAGAGAAGGACAAAGAAAATTACACCCAGGGCATGCAATAAACAGAAAAGGACAGGGGGTAGATGTGTTATTCAGAGAGTGAGAGAGAGAGAGAGAGAGAGAGAGAGATTATGAGGGATGGATGTCTCTACACAGGGTGTGAAAAAGATTAGAGCAGGAGGAGATAGCAGGAGAGAGAGAGTGGAAAGGAGAGTGGGCAAGATGGAGAGAGATATTATGGGGTGGAGAGAGAGAGAGAAAGAGAAGGATGTTGGTGGGGCAAACAGAAAGAATCAGACTGCATGACAGTGAGCAAGGGGGAGGGGAGAAGACAGACAGAGAGAAAGAAGAGAGCAAGAAAGAGAAGGAGAGAAACAGAGAGAGAGACTTGCGGGTCTGTGCCAGTGGAGCTCATGCTGAGTGTACATATGTAGAGCAGCAGGAGAGAGTATGTTGCTGGCTGCAGGCCAAAATCCCTACATCAATCATTCACAACACAACTATTCTAAACTCCAGTACACCACACTACACCAAAACACCTCAATAATAATAAACCTTGTGTATTTTATATCTATAATAATAAAAATGCTAATAATAATTTACTGAGTGCAATTCATACAAGTAGGAGCTCTAAGTCCAACACACAACCACAATGCAGTACGTACTACCCCCACTATTATAACACAAAATATCCACTATACGCAAATACCTCTGACTATACCTCAATACAGCGCACTATGCTACTACACCCCGCAAAGCCCCTTCCAATCCACTATACCCGTAATACACCCCATCATATCTCAAAACACCCCATAGTACCTAATTATAATGAACTGACTGACTTCACTAAAAATGGTAACAAATGACGCTTCTGTTCCCTAACTGGATATTTGAGTGTTTGAAACACAGTGTTGGTCACATGAAAAATAAGGTGGATACATGCCAGTATTCAATACTGTTACCCTTCTAAACCTTGTGACACCCCATTATACCACTATATATCATACTATAGCCAATACACCCCATTATCCCACAGTATACCCCGCTATATCCCACTGTATTCTGTTATACCCTGCTATACTCCAATACACCTTACGATACTTTATTACACCCTGCTATACAATACACACCACTATACCTGTATATCCCCCTACTACACCCCATTATACTCCACTGTACCCTATTATACTGAATTACACCTCACTATACCCCATCAGACCCCCTCTTCCCAAGTCTTTTTTTGAAGTATACTGCCTGTGTTTTGTGAAGTCTAATTCTTGTGTGCTTTACAGTTTCCTGCTTTACCTCAATATTCCATAAATACACTCCACTATGCTCTAGTACATCTTACCATGGTCCTCTCTGCAAGAAGCAGACACACACACGTACCCATGCATATGCCTACAAATTGTACCACTCACTCTCAGTTCTGAAATAAAAAAAGCAACCAGAAGTATCCATACTTGATCTCTCCAAATTCATTAACCATGCAAATATATGCAGATATATGCACCTATAGAAATCTACCTTTGGGCCAGTGTGTTTCTGGAGATGTTGCTGTTCATATCAGAGTGTACGAGTAGGTCAAAATGAGCAGCACATGGAGAAATATATATATCTCTGTTGTCGGAAGAAAAACTTGCAGCTCCATTTTTGACGTTTTCAGTTTTTGACATAATTTGAAAATACCTGTTACCCTTTACATTATATGTAAATTTCATGATGAACAGACTAAAAGAAATGACCCAAAATGACTCGGAAAAAAGTCTGGTTCCACTGACTTACATTAAAAATAAAGTATGTTTTTCTTTCTCCTGTAAAGTTACCATTTTGGAGATGCGAGGCTTTCTTCCGCTAACAACAGCGATATATACATATATAATGTCAACGTGTTGCTCGGACCTTGTTCTGACCTAATAATAATAATAATAATAATAATAATAATAATAATAATAATAATGTACTTTTTCAATTTAATCTCTCCACCATGAATGGCCTTATCTAATCACAGATATTGCTTCACTTGCCTCACAATTCAATGAGCTCTTCTCATATTCACACTAAAAAATGATCATTATAGGCTTCTAACAGTAGTCATTAACATCTATGGTTTTTCACTGTCATACACCCTAACAGTAGTTGCTGGTTTTCACTGGTAACAGTGACTGATTTTCATACATTTTTTTCCCACTGTTACTCAGATTAGCCTCTACTAGTACTCATTGGTCATCATTGCTTGATCTGATAACTTATGTCCACTTATGTCCTATATTTTTGTTTGCTGTCCGGTGTTCTCCAGAAAAGTATTGGTTCCTCTCAAGGTTTCTTCCTCTTGCTCATAAGGAGTTTTTGCTTGCCACCGTCGCCCTTGGTTTGGTCACTTGGCCTTGGACACAGATTTCCTGTAAATCTGCTTTGCGACAACGGCTGTTGTAAAAAGCGCTATACAAATAAATACTGACCTTTCACTCAAGTATCAGCTCTAAGTCAAATATGCAACCACAGTGAAGTACACCTACTACTAGTAGGGAGATTCCCATTGCATTTCTCTCTCTCTCTCTCTCTCTCTTTTCAAGATGTTTGTATTTTTGTATTGTGTCATTTTACAATTGTTGGTGTTTTGAAAGTGGTCAGTAAACATAACCATCGTTAAAGGGGAATTCCACAGATTTGTCAAAATTCCTGCATAAGTCAATAGTTGACATATAAACAAAGTCATCCAGAATGGTTTGATGTGAAATGTTTACTTATACAAAAATTTGCTGTGGTGATATGAACAAGAGGTCTTCAATGCAAATACAGTGTTACGGTACAGCAAATTTTATTTACTACCCAAAACCCCCAGTAAACCTACACGTGTCTTGTTATATGTAATGCTAATGATAGTAAAATGGTGGCAAAGTTTTCTTTGGGTACTATTTTGCCTTACAATTCCCTGCATGTATCTCTCTGCCATGAAAGGCTTTAAAAAATACATTTTAGGACAAAAGCTTACCTCAAAAATTGTTGTAAAATAATGCCTCATTCATCAGGTAGCGTATCCATGTCATATAATAAAATTCTGCAAGGGATGCAAACAACTTATATTCGGTATGTTTCCCCAGAATTGAGCATTTTACATCAAACCACTCTGAAAGACTTTGAAAACATCTCAACCATTTAATTATGCAGAAAAACAAATCGGCAGGATTCCCCTTTAAGGCAGATCAGTGTAACTCTACGTCTACATCTCCTGCTATACACACAATATACCAGCACTTACCATTCTGCTTTTGGATTCGTTACATTTGCCATATTTACTTTTATCTATAGTAGACATATGACAGTTATCATTTTATTGATATACTGTGCACTGTAGTATAAAAGCAAAAGAAAATCATATCTAATCATATCTAATTACTGTAAAATGATTTCAATGTGTTTTTTTATTGTATGTTTGGATATACCAATAACATAAAAGAACATTTTAACATTATGTACTGTATGTAAGACTGTCCCAAATAACTTATACGTAATCCATCTCTGTGAGTCCATGTAAGCAGGTTTGGGTCAGATCACTAAGTCACATTATGGATCAGATTTGGGCATCAATTCCACACCCATGCAGACCTCTGTCTCTGCTAATCATGTCTGAGGCAGCTTTGTGTTTTTATTTTTCTTTAAAGTCTGCATACAGGAAACGGATATTGTTTTTGAGCATTTGTGTCTAGTATTGGGTGTGTGTTAATGATTACACTGTGTGTGTGTTTTAAAGGCAGTATTATATGTGGTGTGTTAATGACTGTGCTGTTTGTGCTGTTACAGATGCTGTGTAATTGGCCACAAAGGAGACAGTAAATCAGTAGGAGATGGTATATATGTGTGTATATGTGTCTTCAAAGCCAACTTACAGTCATTCTGTTCTCATCTCTCTGTGTCCTTTTCACTTTGTCACACACATGTACACACAGAATCTACGGTACAATCTACTGATTAATATTTGAATTTAAGATACTGTAATCATTTTTAAAATAAGAATAAAAACTGACAGAACTTCATTCAACCTTAAACATTTAAAAACATATATAATTACTGTTCACTATTACATAAATATATATATATATATATATATATATATATATATATATATGTGTGTGTGTGTGTGTGTTCGTGCACGTGTGTGGTCAGTGAGCATACGGTCAGTCTCCATGTTCCTTGTGGATGTTCCCCCCAGTTCTGTACGGTCATCAGTGTCCACCTCTTGAGTCCGGCTTCCGACCTGTCATTTCTCCGCGTGTCCAGCAGTACCGAACGCGTTTGGACTGGAGACACCAGCTCCACACTCAAATCACCACGACACACACTGCTGATGTCCACTGTCACCTGTCGAGGAGTATGTGGTAATGTGTGTATGTGTGTGTGTCAGAGAAAACAGCAGTTAGCTCAGCAGTGTGTAGGTGTAGAGTAACAATAAAATATTCTAGTAACAATATTCATCTTCAAAGAGAGCTATGTGAAATGTTCTATCATCCTGTATGTCACTTTGCATTTTATCATACCTAAAACCTAAAAGCACAAACTGCCCTTTGCACACTTCTAAAATGAAATGGCTCTTTGTTTGGAATTCCATTTCTAGGAATAGATCTTTTAATCAGTATAGTTGGTTCGTTGAACTTCATAAAATGTTCTTCACACTCTTTTAAAGAACGATTTTTGTAAAAATCATCCATTGGAAGATTCATAGTTGACCCAAAAGTGGTTCTTGCAAAGCTTCAAACTTCAAAGAACCCTTTTTGGTACCTTTATTTTTAGAGTGGACATTTCATGATGAATGGATCTATTATGGAATAAAATTTAATATAGAGACCCAAATCCAATAAAGTTTGTACAGTAGGAAAAATGTAAATAAAACAGACAGCAATGACTTGCAAATCATTTTGACTTGTATTTACTTAAAAAACAGTGCAAGATATTTAATGTTTTAACTAAATGAATAAATAGCTATGAAAATGTGCAGAAATGTACCTTTCCAGGCTGTGAAGGGGATGTTGGCACTTTTCATACCCTTCTCAAGGAACTGAACTGTCAATAGGCATGGTTGATGTTGAACTGACACTGAAGTTGGCTTCCTATTCACCAGCTTTTTCAATGAATGTTCCGTTCCACCTTAAAACCTACAACTTGTACAGGTGCCAGAATGTAACTGCAGCACCATTTAATGTGGAACAGAAAATTTGCAAAACAAGCTGTGAATCAGAAGCCAATTTTAGCTCCCACTTCTTTCACTGAATCCCAGACAACTTTAATTTAAAATTGCTTTGCTCTGCACATTTCACTTCAGACAGTTTCTCAAGCCTTGGACAATTTCGAGCAGGCTTCACTCAGTGTTTGACACTAAGAGAGGGGCAGTTCCAACTTTATTAGCATCATAACCCCAACCGGAACTTGTACATAGCTTGCCATGCTGTGTGATTTTATCCACTGTTTGACAGCTGAAACCAGATCATCTTAAATTGACAATTTCATAGTGAGCTAACAACTTTAATTTACTTTACTTTACTTACTTCGCCAGTAAAGCAGCTATCTTTTCAGAGGTCTGTGGTTTGTTTATATTTTGATTTGTCACAAACTTGTCATTTCCACTGTAGACATCCTGCAGGCCTTACGATATGATGCGATATTGCATTTAAATGCTCACTTGCTGTTAGGACATGGTGTAATTTTGTGTTACAGCTGCTCATAATCCTGATGCTCTGATGATCTTTCCTAAACATCAGCTGTCCGAACATAATTTATGTCATCTTCATTGGGGTTAATGTTTTGCTTGTCAAGAATGGAATCATGCTTTATAGGGATGTGTTGCACTGGTTGTTGGGTTTATGTTAACCTGTGCTCTCATTAATGCATAATCTTTCTACTGTTTTGTCTCCCAGTCTTATATTGCCCCATCCCAACTTTTTTGGAATGTGTTGTAGGTATTAAAGTCAGAATTAGCATGTATTTGGAGAAATCAATAAAGTTGTTAAATTAAATTATTTACAGTTTCCAAATCACTGCTTTCTGTTTTTGTCATCTCAACTTGTTAAAATATCACTGCTGTTGTATGAAACCTTTGCATCTCCATTTTTGCCATTTTCAGTTTTTGACATAATTTGAAAATGTCTGTTGGCCTTTACATTGTGTGTAAATTTCATGAAGCATGGACCAAAAGAACTGACCCAAAATGACTTGAAAAAAATTCTGGTTCCATTGACTTACATTAAAAGTAAAGTAGGTTTTTTCCTTTTCTCTTTAAAGACAAGGTTTTTTCTGACAACAGCGATATATATATAAAATTATAAAAATATAAAAATGTATAATATATATATATATATACATTTAAGACATTTTGTGTTAAAGTACAGATTCTTAACTTTTAATTCACGCCACATTCGTGTTTGTAAATAGAAGAGGAGGTAAAACAAATGCAAAAATGTAGACAGGCCTGTTGACATAGAATGTAAATTGATTGTACACCTAATTCATTATTTAACTGTGTATGTAATTTTATAAGGTTTATACATTTATGAGGTTATTAAGTTATAAATAATAATACATTATAATTATAGAACGTAATTACGAAGTTGATCAAAATGGCAATAATAACTAAATGTTAAAGAAGAGCACAAAAGGAAATTTGGTGTGTGTGCCGTAAATATGTATGTGGGTGTATGTGTGGGTGCTGAATTGTGTGTGTGTATGTATGTATGTGTGTGTGTGTGTGTGTTAAGTGTAGGAGGATTATTGACAAGACCTTAGGCCTCATTTAGCACAAACAGTCTGGCCAAATCTTTATACACTTATGAAAAATGTGCACATACTTGGCACACACACCTATAAGTAATTACTGACAACATTCACCAGCAACATTATCTGCATCAAATTATTGCACCAGAATAAACTATACATGGCTTAAAAGTGCCTTGAATGAGGTTTTGAGTAGTTGAGTAGAAACAGTAGTTTCACACTATTCCACACAAAACTAACTCAAATGAGAAATCCTACAGATAGCATAATCAATAAGGCCAAACGTATGTGGACACCTGAGCATCACAACCTAAATAAGCTTGACATCCCATTCCACAACCATGGACATTAATCTGGAGTTGCCCTCCTTTTGCGGCTATAATAGCCTCCACTCTTCCAGGAAGGTTTTCAACAAGATTTTGGAGTGTGTCTGTGGGAATGTGTGCCTATTCAGTCAAAAGAGCATTTGTGAGATCTGGCACTGATGTTGGTCAAGAAGGCCTGGCTTGCAATTAATGTTCCAGTTCATCTCAAAGGTGTTCAGTGGGGTTGGGGTCAGTGCTCTGTGCAGGCCAATGGAGTTCTTCCACATCATCTTGTCATACTTTGCATCTGCCAAACCCAGATCTGTTCACTGCCAGACAGTGAAGCGTGAATCATCAATCGAGAGAACATGTTCCCACTGAGTCTACCACTCCAGCTGGTGCTTGGCATTGCACATAGCGATCTTAGATTTGTGTGTAGCTTCTCGGCCATAGAAACTCATTTAATGAAATTCCCTTCACACTTGTGCTGATGTTGTTTCCAGAAAGAGTTCGGAACTCTGCAGTGAGAGATACAATGGAGGATAGGCGATTTTTATGTGCTACACACTTCAGGACTCTTCCCCAGTCTGAGTTTAAATGATCTACTGCTTTGTGACTGAACTGTTGTTGCTCCTAGATTCTTCCATTGCACAATGATAGTACTTACAGTTGACTAAGGCAGATCTAGCAGGGCAGAAATTTCACAAACTAACTTGTGGCAAAGGTAGAATCCTATGACAGTGCCACATTTAAAGTCACTGAGCTCTTCAGTATGACCTATTCTACTGCCAGTGTTTGTCTATGATAACATAGCTGCATGCTCATTTTTATACACCTATTAGCCATAAATATGGCTGAAACACTTGAACTCAATGATAAGGAGGAGTGTCCACATACTTTTAGCCATATAGTGTACATAGATTAAAAGCTGACTGTAGAGTGTTTTAATTCGGTATGCTGAAGAAAAACAAACTATTTTTTATAATATCATTTTTAAACAACGAAATTTAATATAAAGAATTGTCATTAACTTGGCCCAAAATTGCATTCTTTTGTAGCTACTGTTGCAAAGTTGGACAAGCTTAAGAGACAGCTAGCAAAAATCCCATGTCACTTAATGAGGAACTGCAGCAATCTCCTTTAGTAGTTACTTTATAGGGCAAGTTGGCATTACGTCACAACAACAAAGAACTTACTTCTGGATGGATAATGCTGGCAGGACTTTGTACCAATCCTCATTATTAATTGATTTTATTTATAAATTATTTATCAACAAATTAATTGATTTTATTTATAAATTAATTGAGTTATTTAACCAAAATATTGGAGAATTTTTTTTTTTTTTGCATCTTTGTTCTTGTGATGAAACATCTAAATACAGAGATAGCATGTACCTCTACATATTTGTTATTAAATACTGGCAAACTTTTTCACTGCAGCAAAATCACACTAAAGCAAAGTGGCTCCAAAGCATGGCAGCATTTATTTGCAGTTTCATGCAATGAAATTAAATTATAAAATAAGGAGAACTGGGGGAGCCATGACAGTTTGGTAACTGAAACTCTGCAGTGTGTAGTTTTTATAGTCTGACAGTGTGATGACTGTAGAGTGTTTTTAATTCGGTATGTATCTGCAGTATGTGTAGTTTTTACAAGAGTGAATGGTCTTCTGTAATTGGCTCAACCTGGAGCTCCCTCATTAATAGTATAATAGGAATAAAAAACTTTCTAAAAGAAATGGCTGTGCAGTGTTGTTATTGTTGTTGAGTGTGTCTTGTGAGGTCACTAATGTGAAAATCCAGGCTATGACTTTTCACTCTGGGTTATCTGTGTGCATTTGGGGAAATAATATAGGTACTTTACACTGAACCTATCAATCAATCAAATCAATCCTGCACATTACTTTACACTTGGAGAACTAATGCAGCAAGAATACAGTTAAAGCCATGTTTTAAATTATAGACCTATTAATTGCTGAATGTAATTTTACAGGCAATTAATATTAAAGATTGAAGAGTGTATTTGTAAATGCTGAAATTATTTAATATGTTTTATTTCAAAAAACACTGTTTAAAATAAATGTATTTAGCTTCTTAGATGATGGATATATTACTAAAGCTCCCAGACTGCACTAAAATTATTGTCCTATTTTCAATTTGAAAATAATTGAAATGAAAAGTATCTACAGACATGTATATACATACACAAACACACACACACACACACACACACACACACACACACACACACACACTCAAAAAATGAACTAAGGAGGTCATTTATTAAAATTGCTATTGCATTTTATGTTTAAAATCCATATATGCTGATGGTATTCCATCTGAATGCAAATGTGTGGCATGTGTGGATGTTTGATGTTTTTAATGTATTGTCACACACCTGCACATGTTCCAATATGTTTATCTCATTGTGCTGCCCCTTGCAGGCCTCCGACCGAATAGCCACGCTGACCTTTCCTCCAGACGGAAGGACACTGAAGAGGAGTTTAAACACTTCATCGTACACATATTCCTTCTGCCATTCTAATACACACACATTCATCTATTTTTCCGAAACCTACCGTACAGGTTGAAGGGCCACACTCTCCTCACACTTCCTCTGATCCTCTACTGACTGAAACTGCACAGCCTTCTGCACCATCAGAGCAGCATCCAGAAGACCAAATCCATACCTAGAAAGAGAGAGAGAGAGAGAGAGAGAGAGAGAGAGAGAGAGAGAGAGAGAGAGAGAGAGAGAGAGAGAGAGAGACAGAGGTTGGTCAAATTTGTGTCTTGCTTATGTTTTTTGGGCAGTGTATAAAATACAGTGATCTAAAAATGGACAACAATTCAGGTAAAGTTTAGGTTTCCCATCACTGGGAAGTTGCAAGTTTGATGCTGGGCAATGCCACAGCCATATGTGGTCAGGAATCCTAAAGAGTCTAATTGGCCTCACTCTCTTTGGGTGGATAGGATGGTGCGTAAGATTCTCCCTGCTTCATTCAGCATGATGCTAGCCATATCAGATGTCTGCTAGCCAACATAAGAAAATTAGCAGTTAAAAAGGGGCAACCTCAATGTAAATTCAACTTAACTTCATTTTTAAAATTACTGTAACCACTCCCACCAAGAGGGACGGTGCAATCATGTTTAAGAGGGAACAAAATGTTGTGTTAAGAGTTTTCTCTTTTCCAGCCAAACTAGAGGCACTTAACATGGGTTTGAACCCTACTGTGGGGATAAGCGCACCTGAGACGGATCAGTTTGAGCTGAAATCTCCCCAGGTGGTCAGAACTACACTAGGGGCGAAGCTCAAGAGCAGTAAATCTCATGGCATCCAAGTTAACCCATATGCTCTATTCCCATGATGAGACTGATCCCAAAAAGAAAAAAATAGACGCAGATGCTGACAGACGCTGAATTTCCAAAGAGGTTTCACTGTAGTTCTATAAGTCACTCAGTACTTAAGTAGTTTTTTGACCCATGACTTTTGTACATCTACTTGAGTGTTTTTTGAGTTTTTTTACTTGAATGATTATTATAGCCATGTATTAATACTTTTACTTGAGTACCGGTTTAAGGAACTCTACACACCTCTGGAAGCAACTACATACTCCATTTCAGCTGACTGACTACATTTGATGAAAGGACTAAATTTGTAAAATTAGATTTTTGGCTGAACTATTGCTTTATGTCTGTGTTACATTCACAATATCTTTCAGATCTGTCCATACCTCCATAGAGGTGCGTGTGTCTGTGTGTGTCTATGTGTGTGATGACAGGTCTCTTGAATGATACTCTGCATTTCCGTATGTAGAGGCACTAAGTTGTGGGCTGAGATGATGATGCTCCTCCGCCACAATCACTCCCTATTCTCACTTACAGCAGTAATTACACACAGAACTGATTTACACACCAGCCGAATCAGACTCTATTATTCACTCAAAGCTAAGGAGTTACACACACACCAACATGGAGTCATGACTCTGGCTAGAAAACATACACACACACACACATACTGAGGTAAGGTGTTAAGTGCATGCCAGAGACTGCTGTGTGAATGAGTTGTGATTAGGCTGAAATAAGACCCCTTGTGGCTTCCTAGTAGAAACAGATCAAACAACACCTAAAATGCAGCCTGTGAGACACTCACACACTGGATTGATCTAGAAACACTCATTCGTTCATTTCTGAATCAGTGTTCAGAATCCATGCTCCTTGATCATTGTTTCAAGATCAGTGCTCCCAGATCAGTGTTCCTGGATCAGCATTTCTGGATCAGTGTTCCTAGATCAGCACTGGAACAGTGTTTCTAGACCAGTGTTGCTATATCAAAGTCCTGAATCATTATTCACAGATCACAGTCCCTGTATCACTGTTCTTGCATCACTGTTTCTCAATTGTTTACCCTGGAACTGCATTTCTGGATCCTGGTTCACTATTCCCAGTTTAGTGATCCTGGACCAATGTTACTGGATCAGAGTACTAGAACATTGCTTCTGGACCACAGTTCCTGAATCTGTGTTCTTGGGTCAATGTTCCCAGTTTAGTATTTATGGATAAGTAGTTAAGGACCAGTGTTCCTAGATGATCAATGTTTTGGGATCAGTGTTTCTGGATTAGTGCTCCTGGTCAGTGCCCCTACATCACTGTTCCTTGATCAGTGTTGCATGATCAGAGTCCTGGATCAGTGTTCCTGCATTGATGCTCCTTGATCAGGGTTTCTGGGTCCGAGACCTGGATCAGTATTTATGGATTAGTGTTGCTGGATCAGATTTCTCTGACATTTTTTTTATTTCTAGCATTCTAACTTATTTCCTCTGGAAGATCAAAAGCTTTAAAGTGACAAAACTGCAGGAAAAGATTAGACAATTCATCAAGTGAAAAAATCAAAAATAGTGCTGTAAATGATGTAAGTCCACATAGAAGTCAAAAAATGAAAGGAAAAGAAAATGTAACGATACAATTAAAACTTTCAATAAGCAACATAGCAGCCCACCAGTCACATGGTGCGCCCTGGCTTAAAACACATGCACACAAAAACACAAAAAGAGGGGGAGAAAGAGAGGGAGTATGTGAGTGTGAAAGAGAGGGTGTGAGAGTATGTGAGAGTGTGTGTGAGAGTTGGAGTGAGGGAGTGACAGGCCCAGTGCTGTATTATCTAGCCTTCAGTCTGTAGCTGCATATATCACAACTGCAGTCTCAAATTCTCTTTTCTGACCAAAAACATCCAAAAAAAAATCCTTTAATTTCTCCCTCTCTTCTTTGTCTCTGTCTCGCCATCTCCCTCCCTTGTTCTCAGCAGGTCTTTTTCTATGGGCAGACCCTTCTCCCTCTCTGACCTCCCCCGGACCACATTCAGGAGAGTCATACACGCCATCTGCTTGTGGAGGGGGGTACTGGTACGTGTGTGTGTGCAGGGGGGTAATTTCTACCATCGGGTGGTCAAGCAGTGATACGCTACAGTTCAAATGTTGAATCAATGATTTCAGTAATATAAAACCAATCAGATTGTATATAAATAAATTAAATGATTAACATGAGGCTGCTACTTTACAACTTCAACAAATTTTTAGGAATCTGGAAAAACAATAAATACATTTTTGGTTCAGAATGATGAACAGAATTCTAGATGATTCTAAAACTGCTATTAAGGAAGTTTTGAGAAAGAATAAAGTTACAATAAAATGAATATCCAGAATAATGGTATAATCAAATTAGTATCTAGTAAAATGTTATAATAAAGTTAACCAGAATATAGGTATAATAAAATTAATATCCAGAATAACGATATAAGAAAATTTAAATTAAGTTAAAATTGATCTGAATAGAGCTGCCTATTTGAGGACCAGTGTTAATGTAATCCAAACATCTATATGCATACATTTTATATGTAGTCTTTAATAAACATTCCTAAGCTAGGAATTGTTTACATAATGTTAGCAAACGAGTTAGCTTGTACAATTTCTGTAAAATTAAAGGCTAAGTAATAACAATCACTACCACAAGTGGTGTAAATTATGTAAAAAAAAAGGCTATTTTATGTATTGACCATGAATGGATGCTAATGAATGCTGTTTGATGTTCTAATAAGTTACATTTTAGTTAGAGTTTTGATTATCTCAGTATACTCCAACAAGATTGACTGCTTCTTGTTTTCTGACCAAAAGCCAAAACAAACAAACAAACAAACAAACAAAAACAGCACAACGTCAACACCTCAAAATAAAACCAAAACATACCTTTATCTTTAGTTTTTTTTTACTCATCTTCTCCTTTCATCATCTTTCCGCTCATTACAGCATCTTATTAGACAACATCATGATAAGTTACAATAATTACCAAAAAGTTGTCAAGGAGCACCTGGTGACTACACAGCCCTAAGTAGCTGCTTATGTTGCTTATTAGGTAGGGCGTTTTCTGGTCCTTTTCTAGTGTATATGTTTGTTTATTGAAGTCATTTATGGACTAATATATCATAATCTAACATATAGGAGTGTTTATTGAGGATATTTATCAACTAATATTTCCTGTTCTAGTGTATAAGAAATTTTATAGAGGTTGTTTATGGACTAATATCACAGGCTGTAGCATATTGGAATGTTTAGTGAGGTTGCTAATGGACTAATATCTCTTATTCTAGCATGTAAGAGTGTTTATTCATGGACTAATATCTCCTATTCTAGCCTTGAGAGTGTTTATTGAAGTAGTTCATGGACTAATATTTCCTATTATAGCATACAGGAGTGTTTACTGAGGTTGTTCATGGACTAATATCTCCTATTATAGCATATAGGAGTGTCTATTGAGGTTGTTTTTGGACCAATATCACCTGTTCTAGTGTATAGGACTGTTTATTAAGGTTAATTATGGACTACTATCTCCTATACAAGCATATATGCGTGTTCATTCAGATTATTTATGGACTGATACCTCCCATTCTAGCATTGATAGTGTTGACTGAGGTTGTTTATAGACTAATATATCCTGTTCTATCTTACAGGAATGTTTACTGGGGTTGTTTATCAACTATCTGTTGTTCTAGGACAGCATAGGTGTATTTATTAAGGTTGTCTTCTAATATCTCTTATTATAGCAAACAGGAATGTTTAGTGAGGTTGTTCATGGACTAATATCTCCTAGTATAGCATACAGGAGTGTTTATTGAGGTTGTTCATTGACTAATATTTCTTAATATAGTACACAGGGCTGTTTACTGAGGTTTTATATGGACCAAACGTTCCTTTTCTAGTGTATAACAGTGTTGACTAAGCATGTTTATGGACTAATATCTCCTATTTTTTTTAAAGTGGGCATGTAAGGATTAAAAATAATTAAATAAGTCTAGCATGTAATCTGCCCTGCAGTTTCTGCTAAATACACAACACATTACAGGGCAAAAGCCTCTGACTGATTTGTACAAAATAAACCTTACAGTTCCCAATCAGGTCCTTTTTCTTACGCCCTCAGAACCTGACTATCACTGTCCCTGGTGTTGGCTCCAGCAATAACAGTATGAAATCTCCATACTTCAATCTTAAGCCCTATGTCAGAAGCACACCTAATTAGGCATATTAAGTCATTAAGAAAAGAGGGTCTTAATTAAACGCATACAGACACACATACACTGAGGCCTCGGAGGCTTTGAGACAGTATTCTTGGTTAAATTAATTCTTAAACATGGGCCTTTAAA